CTCTCGCGCGGGCCTTGGTCACAATTCATGTAGGAATCTCGCTCTCGCGTGGGAAGTCCTGTCCTTTTTTCAAGACGATGCGCCCTCGGCGGTCAGGAATCACATCTCGCTTTGGCCTTCCTCACGACATACTTGGAAATCGCGCTGTCGCTCGAGATGTCCTCGCGATTCATGCAGGACCCACGCTTCAGCAATCCGCCTGCTCGACCTGGTCGTCTGGGTCCACCTTCCCGACCCGCCCGCTATGGATCTGCACACCTGACCTGCCCGTCTGGTTCTACCATTTGTTTTCTGCTCCTTGCCCCAACCTGCCAATTTCGCTCGTGCTCCATCCTTCTCCCTCCCCCTTCACCCGTCCTCTCTTCCCTTCTTTTAGGGGCTGCAGTGGATGCGCGTGGCAGGTAAGGAAGATATACCCCCAAGGGGGTACGATCGAAAACGAAAAGGGCGGGTACCGCGGGTTTTAGGATATACGTATTGAATGGCACGTGAGCAGATAGGAGGGAACAGTGTATTCTTGATTGCTGTTGAATTTTAGTTACACAGCAGTTGATATTGTTGGACACTCTGAGCGCTGGCGCGCTCTCGCCTAGGCGGTTGCATTTCCTCTGAAAATTATGCTCACGTTCAGGCGTTTCGGGTGTGCGCCAAAACCGCCCCCCCAACAACAACAAAGCTGTGGCTCGCTAGTTCCTCCTTTCTCACTCGGGGCCCGGGCTCTTGTTCGCCCCCCAAGCAGACTTCTCAACAACATTGGCGCTCCCGTTTGATTGTTATTTCCACGTTTTTCACTTCAGGACGGGCGCTCCCGCCTAGGGGCACTCTACAGACAACGACGCCTTCTCTCGACATTTCCTTCTTTTCGTTGCTCAAGACCCCTGGGAGGCCCTGAGGCTTCCCTAGTCCATTTTGAGCCAGAGTTATTGTATAATTACTCAGCAACTCTTATTACTGGACACCCTGAATGCGCTTTCGCGCTGTCGCGCCTGCTCCGCGCGACCTTGGTCTCGCTCGTGTCCTTGGGCGTGGCGTCGTCGTCGTCGTCGTCGTCGTCGTCGTCGTCGTCGTCGTCCTCTCTATCCCTCTCTTGTTCCTCTCTCCCTCACTTTGCCTATCTTTCCTTATCTTTTCCTGCTTGTCTCTCCGCCAGCTTTCCCCAACTTTCTCCCGCTTTTGTTTTTATCTCAGCAGTTTCCTTGTCTTTCTGCCGCTTTTCCCTGATATAGTTCCAAATTTCATGCCAGTTCTCACGCCAGTCGCCAGGGCCATCCCATTCTTTCCTTCCATCTTGCGCGCCAGCTTTTTCGCCGGATTTCACGCCAGCTTCCTGCTCTGTTTCCGGCGACTCGCCAGCTTTCCTGTTCTCTTCCCGGCGACTTTTGCGAAACGTGTTGCAGAATCCCGAACGGGCGCCCTCGCCTGAGACATCCTCGGCAAGTCGAGAACCCCCAGGCCGTTTCTGGGCCCGCCGACGACGACGACGACGACGTCGACGACGACAACGACAACGACGGCGGTGGCGGCGGCAGTGGCGGCGGCGGCGGCGACGACGACGACGAAGACGATGAGGCCCGGAACCGTTGGAAGTGGCCGACGCAAAAGCGGCCCCTGGGAAGGGGTCGAAACCCTGAAGGCCTAAGCTCTGAAACTTCTCCCAGAGGTTCTTCACCACCCACCAAACCATCCCAACCCAACCCGAAGGCTCAGATTTGCCCTCGATTTCTAGTGGGGGAGGTCGGGGAACGTTGAAAAAACACACATGGAGCCCATACCCCCCCCAACCCGAAATTCGGGTCTTCGGGTTGGGTTGGGGTTGTCTGGTAGGTAGTCAGTTCTGGGGGCTCTCCGCCGGGCTTTCCCAGAGGTTGTAAGGCCGCTCCCCGAGGTCTCAGGCCATTCCGGCGTGGTGATACCCAGAGGCAAAACCTGGGCAGTGAGATCGCAGAGGCGATGTGCCGTCTGGGCTGGAGATGTTGAAGTGCCTCGGAAGAGGTGTTGTCGACACTTTCTCGGGCTGGAGATCATGTCTAACCCCCGTGCGCAAGGAAAAAACCCATGGGGGGGGGGGTGTATCATGACGGATACGTCCTGCACAAAGGAACATCGAGCATTTGGGTACAATGATTGTTGTTGTTGCTGCTGCTGTTGTCGTTATCGTTATCGTTGTCGTGGTCGTTGTCGTTGTTGCTGTTTCTGTTGCTGCTGTTGTTGTTGCTGTTGCTGTTGCTGTTGAACTCTCATTTCGGACGAGTAATTATTGTTGATCCCCCCTCACCCGTGCATATTGTTTTTCTCAGTCAAAGTGTGCCCCTCGACGCTCGCACCCTGTATTTTGACAGGAAAGTCTTCCTGGTCAAACTGTGCCCCTGCCCCCCCGGACTACAACAACAACGGTTCCCGCTTGAGATTTTCCCTAAATTCACTCAGGACCCCCCCCTCCCGTCTGAGACTTCCTCCCAACTTACTCAGGAACGGCGCTCCCGTTTGAGACTTGCTCACAACTTAGTCCGGGTCAAACTGCGTTGTTGCTCCCCCGGACTACAACAGCAACGGCTCCCGCCTGAGACTTCCTCCAACTTTACTCAGGACCCCGCTCCCGCCTGAGACGTCCTCCCAATTTACTCAGAATCGGCGCTCCCGCCTGTGACTCCCTTGCAATTTGGTCTGGACCCCCGCTCCCGCCAGACATCCCCTTTTCAGGAATTGCATTCTTGCTTGTGACTTTTTCGCAGTTGATTCAGAAATCGCGCTATCTACGCTCAGGCACCATGCTCGCGCAAAGTACGCCGTCACACTTTACTTAGGAATCGCGCTCTCGCCCTACTCAGGCATCCTGCTTGAATGTCCCACCCGCCCGACCCGCCCGTCAGAGGATCGCCCGCCTGTCGTGGGCTGCCGCCCGAGACTTCCTTGTGGAATGGCGCTTTCGCCTAGGACTTCTTCGAACTTTCGCACTCTTACCTTCCTGCTCCTCCCTCCTCCTGGGCCGATTCCCTCCCCCTCGCACGTCAGCTGATGTTGAACTTTCATTCATGAAGAATGATTTCTGTTGGTCCCCCCCACCGGTGCGCATTGTTTTTCTCAGTCAAAGTACGCCCCTTGACATTCGCACCCTGTTCATTTGACAGGGAAAGTCATCCGGGCCAAATTGTGCCCCTGGGCCCCCGGCTACAACTGTTATGGCGTTGTTTACGGTGCTGTTTATGGCGCTGTTTATGGCGCGACCCATGGCGAAGCCTTTGTTAACCTGTGTTGGAATGGCTGGCGCAAGCCATGGCGCAAGCTGAATCGCAACTCGCGGCACAAATCATCGTCGTCCCTCCCTCTTGCCCCTCTAATCCCTCCCTTCCTCCGATCCCTTCGTCTTCCCTTTTTGTCTTTCCTTTTTCCCTATTTAGGGGCTTCCCCAATTACACGTGGCCAGGAAGGAATATAATCCCCCAAAGGGGTACGATCGAAGACGCAGAGGGCGGGTATCCAGGGTTTGGGTTATGCATAGTGAATGACGGGGGGGCGGTAGGAGCGAACAGTCTTGGAATGACTGTTGCTGTTGTTGCTGTTGTTGCTGTTGTTGCTGTTGTTGCTGTTGCTGCTGTTGTTGTTGTTCTTCTTCTTCTTATTCTTGTTGTTGTTGTTGTTGTTGTTGTTGTTGTTGTTGTTGTTGTTGTTGAACTTTCACATTGGAAGAATCGTTGCTTGCTGATCCAAGTGGCCCTTCTGGGGCACGTTCCCTTTCTTCTATCGGGGAAAGTCTTCCTGCTCAAACTGCGCCACTGGCCGCCGAGTTGCAACAACAACGGCTCCCGCCTGATATTTCCTCTTAATTTATTTCCAACGTCGCACTCTCGCGCGGGATTTCCGTGCAAGTTATAGAAAAGTTCGCGCTCTCGCGTGGGAAGTCCTGGCAATGTATTCAGGCACCGTGCATTTGACACTCAGGAGTCTCGGTCTCGCTTTCGTTTATTTAACGATTTACTTGGGACTCGCGCTATCGTTCGAGATTCCCTTCCGATTCGTGCAGGACGCACTCTTGGTAACCCCTGTGCTCGACCTGGCCGCCTGGGCCCGCTTTCCCGACCCGCCTGATAGGGTCTACCCGCCCGATGTGCCCGTCTGGTTCTGCCACGTGTTTTCTGCTCCAAGCTCCCCCCTTGCTACTCCCCCTCTCGTGCTCCATCCTCCTCCCTCCCCTGTGTTCCTTTCTTCTATCCGTCCTCTCTTCCGCTGCCGTAGGGTCTGCATGAACAACCCGTTGCAGGTAGCCATGGTAGCCATATAATACCCCCCAAGGGGGTACGATCGAAAACGGAAACGGCGGGCACCGAGGGCTTGCGATGCATGTTGAATGCCACGCGAGCAGATAAGAACGAGCAGTCTTACCATGATTGTTGTTGTTGTTGCTGCTGCTGCTGCTGTTGTTGCTGTCTTTGGTGCGCCTTCGCGTTCTTACAGCTTGCCTGCACAAGTTGCATCGTGCCGTCACGTCTCTGGCCTCTGCCGCTGGTCAGCAGACCGTTCTCTTTGTCCGATCGTCGTTCCTGCAGCCCTGGGCCATGGTTTTATCCAAGGTCGGCTTCATTGTTCGCGTCCAAGGGCCCTGATGTCTCACCAGCCACCCTGATGACCGTGCCGAGTTGTAAACGCAGGCCGTTCGACGTCGAGGGTGATGGAAGCGGAGGGAGGGCACACGTGGGGGAAAACGCGGAGCAGGGACGACACGAGGAGTCTACAGGAGAGAAGAGGAGAGACCCTTTTCTTTTTCCTTTTTTTCTTATTTTGTCATTGTCGAATATTCTTCCTCTTCCTCGCGGATTACTCTTTCTTCGCATCGAGGTCTCCCTGCTCTCCTCGAAGCCTCGTCCTCCTCCTCCTCGAGGCCTCCCCCTTCTCCTCGAAGCCTCCTTCTCTCAAGAAAAACGCTGGGCAAACGTAGGCGTTTCCCCGAGTTGTCAGTCCGCATCCAGATGACGCCGCTGCGCCGCGTCGCCGCGCGCACATGTGGTCGTCGGGGTCTGCGAGACCGTCCCCGGCCAAGCCTGGCCCTCGCGAGGACGCCGAGGGGTCCTCCTTCCCCTGGGCATCCGTCGTCCGCCCCAAGGCCGTGAAGCAGGCGTCCATTCGGCACGAACACGAAGACGGCACCGCAGTGGACGCGGCTCCCTCCTCCTCCTCCCCCTCCTCCTCCTCCTCCTCCTCCTCCTCCTCCTCCTCCTCCTCCTCCGCCTCCTCCCTCCTCCTCCCCTCCTCCTCCTCCTCCTCCCTCCTCCTCCTCCTCCTCCTCCTCCTCCTCCTCCTCCTCCTCCTCCTACCTCCTCCTCCACTCCTCCTCCTCCTCCGCCCCTCCTCCTCCTCCTCCTCCTCCACTCACTCCTCCTCCTCCTCCTCCTCCTCCTCCTCCTCCTCCTCCTCCTCCTCCTCCGCTCCTCCTCCTCTCCCCCTCCTCCTCCTCCTCCTCCCCTCCTCCTCCTCCTCCTCCCCTCCTCCTCCTCCTCCTCCTCCTCCTCTCCTCCTCCTCCTCCTCCTCCTCCTCCTCCTCCTCCTCCTCCTCCTCCTCCTTCCTCCTCCTCCTCCTCCTCCTCCTCCTCCTCCTCCTCCTCCTCTCCTCCTCCTCCTCCTCCTCCTCCTCCTCCTCCTCCCTCCTCCTCCTCCCCATTCTCCTCCGTCTCCTCCTCCTCCTCCTCCTCCTCCTCCTCCTGACACCGCGCGGGCCTCTCAACCTTTGGCAAGGTCGGCTTCCCGATAGCGCAGATCGTTTCATATCGGTCGATTCTGGGCCACTGGCGCTGTTCAGCCTCGAACGCAAGCGCTGGGGTCGCCGCCGCGTTCACACGACACGAACCTGCTACTCTCATGATGTTCTAACTTACTTTCCCCTTGATCACCGGAATCATTTCGAGCACCAGGAAAGTATCGAAACCTCAAGGTTTTCCCGTGTGGGGCCTTGGGATGCGATACCCGTTCGACACTTTTTCGATGCCTTTCTGTGTGCTCGGAATTATTTTTGGGACGCGGTCTTTGAGTATGATGGGAGCAACATACACGCCGGTCATTGAAAGTGGGTATTTTTTGGATTCCCATATCCCAATCTACTTCAAGCGCCTTCTTACTTCAAGAATCGACATGCTTTTGCTGTGATTTGTTGTTCTCTGGGAGGGCCTGGACCCAATTCACGATATCCGCCTTCCTACTTTATTTTTTACCTACTTCGTCCGACCGACGTGTAATGTCCTGCTCTTCGAGCCGCGAGCCCGCCGCCTCCTCTTCCTGCCGGCAGATGTGCCGCCCCCTGGGAGCCCCCCCGGTGGGTGGGGGGAGACCCGTCGGCTCTGCCTCTGGGTCGGGGGCCCTCTGGCCCTGCTCTCTCGGGCAGCGGCGAGGCGTCCCAGAGTGCCCATGGGCCCACCAGAGAGTGTTCTGAGAACCTTTTGTGGTCTGAACAGATCTTTTCCTAGAACATTATGACCGTTTGCACAGACCTGTTTCCTAGAACATTATGACCGACACGGTCTTGTTTCAAAACATCACTTTTATCCTCTAAGAACATTTTTTTCTTAGAACGCTGTTTTGTCCTAAGATTCTTTCGTGGTGTGCCTATAGGAATGCGGGGACGGTCGGTCTTGGTATCGCTCGGACGTGTGCATTTTTCGCGGCGAGGGCCATCGAGGACCAGCCTGGACCATCGAGCAGAAAAAAACGCGCACGAGACCCAAACAGGCACGGGGAAGGGACGACCGAGCGATGGCGACCTCCCGCTCTCTCTGTGTGTGGCCGCCAGTGCCCTGCGCGACAAGCTCCAGGCAGCGTCGTATTTCTGCCCCCCCCTCTGCGAGGCCGTGGAACTCCTCCGCGAGTTCTATGCCTCTGGGAACCCCAACGCGCCCGACGAGAAGAGGCACCGGCCGCTGTCGGGCGGCTGAGGCCCCTGGCGCCGCCGCCGTGGTGCGGCGAAAAAGAGGTACCCTTCCCCTCAGGTTTCCATTCCTCCGTTCCCCCCAGACCCCCCCTGAGTCAGGAAGAAATCGCGACGGCAGTGTTTTGTTGAATGTTAATTACTAAACAGTTATTATTGTTGGATCCCTTAAAGGCGCTTTGGCGCTCTCGCCGAGGCGCCGGCTACATTTTTGTTGAAAATGAGGCTTACGCTCAAGCGGTTTTGGGGACCGCCAAAACCGGCCCCCCAACAACAACAACGCTCCCGCTCGAGACTTCCTCATTTTGTACTCAGGGCTGGTGTTCTTGCTCGCCGCCGAAAGCCGCCGTCCTGACAGAACCAGCGCTCCCGCTCGAGACTTCCTCCCGTTTTACGTTGGATTGGCGCGCTAGTCTTTCTCTCATTCGCGCCGCCCCCAGCAAAAACAACGCTCCCGCTCGAGGCTTCCCTTTTTTTACTCAAGGCGGTGCTCCTCCTCGCCGCCGAAAACCGCCGCCCCGACAAAACCAGCGCTCCCGCCCGAGACTTCCTTCCGTTTTACGCTGGACTGGCGCCCTATTCTCTTTTGAACCGGCGCCGCTCCCTGCAAGAACAACGCTTCCGCTCGACGCTTCCTCCTTTTTTCTTGAAGACGGTGCTGTTCCTCGCCGCCGACAACCCCCGTCCCTCCAAAATCACGGCTCCCGCTCGATGCTTCCTCCCTTCTTATTCAAGGCGGTGTTCCTCCTCGCCAGCGAAAACCGCCGCCCCGACAAAACCAGCGCTCCCGCCCGAGATTCCTTCCGTTTTACGCTGGACTGGCGCCCTACTCTCTTTTGAATTGGCGCCGTTCCCAGCAAGAACAACGCTCCCGCTCGAGATTTCCTCTCGTTTTCATCGGGACGGTGCTGTTCCTCGCCGCCGACAGCCCCCGTCCCGACAAAACCACAGCTCCCGCTCGATGTACCTCCCTTCTTACTCAAGGCTGTGTTCCTCCTCGCCGCCGAAAGCCGCCGTCCCAACAAAACCAGCGTTCCCGCTCGAGACTTCGTTTTGTTCTACGCTGGACTAGCGCCCTACTCTCTTCAGCATTGGCGCCGCTCCCAGCAACAACAGCAGCCCTGCTCGAGACTTCCTCCCTTTTTATTCAGGGCCAGGTCCTTACCTCACCGCTGACAGCCCCCATCCCCACCAGGGCAACCCTGTCGTTCGATACTTCCTAGTGCTTTACCCTTCGCTGGGGTTCCACTGGCGGTCTCGCTTCGGCGCAGCAAGGCGCGGGCATGCGTTTTCGAGCCGGGATATGTTGAAATTCCTCGGAGGAGGTGTTCGCAAGACCTCATTGGGCGGGAGATCTGGGAATGGGAATAACGGACCCCGCTATAGAACAAGAGTCCCCCATGATGTGGATGGTTATCATGATGGACGCATGTTTCGTGTGGAAACATCGCGCATGAGGATAAGATGTTTGTTGTTGTTGTTGTTGTTGTTATTATTGTCGTTGTTGTCGTTGAATTTTCATTTTGCAGAATGATTATTGTTGATCCTCCCCGCCAGGTGCACATTGTTTTTTTCGACTGAAGTGCCCCTCCCGGGCCTCGCACCTTGTTTTCATCAGGGGAAGTCTTAAGGCTCGACCTGTGTCGTTGGCCTCCGGTTTACAGCAACAACAACAACGGCTCCCGCCAGATAGTTGCGCACAATTTATTGAAGAATCGCGTTCTCGCTTGGGATTTCCTGGCGATTTACCACCGAATCGCGGCTTCCCCTTGATCCTTTTTGACAGTTTATTGCAGAATCGCGTTCTCGCTTGGGACTTTCTCGCAACTTACCACCGAACCGCTTCGCTGGATATTTCCACAGTTTATTCAGATGCCGGTCTTCGACACTCAGGAACGACGCTCCCGCTACATATTGCCTGGCGGTTCAAGCAGGACTCACGCTTCAACGACCCGCCCGCTCGACCCGCCCGTCGGGGCCTGCCCGCCCAACCAGCCCAGCCCGTTAATGGTTGCAGTCGCCGCTTGCTGCCCTTCGCCCGCTTTCGATGACCCTCGCTGCCCGTACTGGTTCCGCGGTCGCCTTCGCTCGCTGCCCTTCGTGGCCCCGTTGCTGCCCTCAGTGGCTCCGTCGCTGCCCTTTGTGGCCCCGCATTGCATGCCCTTCGTGGCCCCCGCTCGCACGCGCCCGTCGTGGCCCCATACGCATGCCCTTCGCAGCCCCGCTGTCGCCCTTCGTTGCACCGGTGCTGCCCTCAGTGGCCGTATACGAATGCCCTTCGTGGCCCCCGCTCGCTCGCGCCCGTCGTGGCCCCATATGCATGCCCTTCGTGGCACCGCTGTCGCCCTTTGTGGCCCCCTCGCTGCCCTTCGTGGCCCCGGTGCTGCCCTCAGCGGCCCCGTCGCACTGTGGCCTCGGATTTTGTGCCCTTCGTGGCCCACGCTGGCTTTCCTCACGATAGGAATCGCGCTATCGCTCGAGACTTCCTCGCTATTCATGCAGGACCCACGCTTCAGCAACCCGCCTGCTCGACCTCGTCGCCTGGGCCCGTTTTCCCGACCTGCCCGCTATGGGTCTGCCCACCCGATCTGCCCGTCTGGTTATACCATTTGTTTTCCGCCCCTTGCCCCCCTCCTGCTGAGTTCTCTCGTGCTCCAGTATTTTCCCTCCCCCTTCCACCCGTCCTCTCTTCCCTTGTTCTAGGGGCTGCACTAAATACACGTGGCAGGTAAGGAAGATATACCCCCAAGGGGTGTTGTTGTTGCTGCTGCTGCTGCTGCTGCTGTTGTTGTTGTTGTTGTTGTTGTTGTTGTTGTTGTTGTTGTTGTTGTTGTTGTTGTTGTTGTTGTTGTTGTTGTTCTTGTTGTTGTTGTTGTTGTTGTTGTTGTTGTTGTTGTTGTTGTTGTTGTTGTTGTTGTTGTTATTGTTATTGTTGTTGTTGCTGTTGCTGCTGCTGCTGTTGTTGTTGTTGCGGTTGTTGTTGCTGTTGTTGTTGCTGTTGTTGCTGTTGATGTTGTTGTTGTTGTTGTTGCTGCTGTTTTGTTTTTTGTTCGTTGCTTAATGTCTTATTAGCGACTCGGGATGAAACGCCCGTCCTGGGGAATGGGCCTGGGACCTCTTTGGGGCCGACGTGAGGAAAGACTCCCCACGTCGGGGGCGGCCAAGAGGGGATAATTCCCTAGATTTTATGGCGCCCCTTCTTATCCAAGACGCCTACGGCGAATCACCGCCGCCCCCTGCCTTTTTGGAAGCGTCTATGTGGCCGAACGTTGAGGCCAGACCTGCCAAACTATCGGACCATGTTTTCCCCGAATCGGTTTGGAAAGCCTTCGGGGAACACGTGGGCATCTTGAAGGTCATCTTGGCCGTCGGGAGGCCATTTTGACCCTTTCGGGCCTTCGTGGAGGACGTCTTGGAGGGCCCTTGGGCCGTCTTGGAGGCCATCTTGAGCGTGGCCTCTTGGGCCGTCTTGGGGGCCTCTTGGGGCCGTCTTGGGCCTCTTGGGCGATCTTTGGGGGCACTTGGGCCGTCTCAGGCCGTCGGAAGGCCGAGCAAAAATCAAATGGCATAATCCTTCAAACACTCGTTGGACGTTAATGATTTTGGCCTGTTCGGGCCTTCCTGGAGGCCCTCTTGGAGGCCTTTTGGGCCGTTTTGGGCCATCTTAGGGCCATCTTCGGCCGTCTTGGTGGGCTCCCGGCCCGTCTGACGCTGTCGGAAGCCGTTTGGGGGGCCTCTCTGGGCCGACTTGGGGCCCTCTTGGAACGTTCCAGCACCGTCTTGGAGGCCATTTTGGGTGTCTTAAAGGCTTCCTGGGCCGCCTCGGGGGCCTCTTGGGCCGTTCTGGGGCCATCTTGGAAGCCTCTTTGGGTGATCTTTGGGCGATCGTTGGGCGATCTTTGGGGGCTCTTGGGCCGTCTCGGGCCGTCGGAAGGCCGAAAAGAAGCAAGTGTCAAAATCCTTCAAAAACCTTAGGACATTCAGTGATTTTAGTCTTTTTTGGCCTTCCTGGAGGCCCTCTTGGAGGCCTCTTGGGCCGTCTTGGGCCAGCTTCGAGCCAACTTTGGCCATCTTGGTGGGTTCCTAGCTCGTCTGACGCCGTCGGGAGTCGGGGCCTCTTCTGAACCGACTTGGGGTCCTCTTGGGGCGCTTCGGGGCCGTCTTGGAGGCCATCTTGGGCGTCTTGGAGGCCTCTTGGGCCGTCTTGGGGCTCTCTTCGGGCGGTCTTGGAGGCCTCTTGGGTCGTCATGGGGCGCTCTTGGAGGCCTCTTGGGCGATCTTGGGGCGATCTTGGGGGCCTCTTCGGCCGTCTTCAGCCGTCGGAATCCCGAAAGGCGCAAATGCCCAAATCCTTCAGGAGGAGCTCTTGGGCCCTCCTGGAGGAGCTCTTGGAGCGGAGCGTCTGGGAGGCCTCTTGGTGGCCTCTTGGGCCGTCTTGGAGGCCTCTTGGGGCGTCTTGGAGGCCTCCGGGGCCATCTTGAGGACATCTTGGGCATCTTCGGCCGATCTTTGGGCGTCTCGGGGGCCCTCTTTGGCCGTCTTGGAGGCCGCTCGGGGCCCTCTTGGCCCGTCTTGGAGCCCAGGGCGCACGCGGGCAGCCCCAGGGGGCACGCGGGCAGCCCCAGGGGGCACGCGGGCAGCCCCAGGAGATTTGAGAGCGAAGGGTCCGGGCCCTCGGAAGAGCCTCCAGGAGTGAGGATTGAGGCTCAGAGGCTTGGGCCCAGGACCCGGGGATACGCCCACTCCGTGCCCAGCGGCACAGTGGCGGATGTTTTGGGATCCATGTTGAGGCGCCTTGGAACATCACGAGCCTAACGCCAGACACTTCTCCTCGACACCGGACGCGCCACCCGAAGGACGCCCCTTTCGCCACCGCGCGCTCGAGATGTCTGGGCTCGGAGCTGCGCGGGCTGCCGCGCGGGGGGGCAGGGCGGCCGTATGAGCCGGAGAGGCAGGCCCGACAGCGAGCCGGAGCCGTCCAGGCTGCGGGTTGCCATCGTAAACTCCGACAGGTGCAAGCCGAAGAAATGCAAGCAGGAGCTCGGGGGCGGACCAGCGTTCCTTTGGAGCCGACCGACGCCCCTCTGCTCACCCTCCAGACCCCCCTCTGGCCATCTGCTTACATCTTGAGAGGAGGAGGCGGAGGCGGAGGAGGAGGAGGAGGAGGAGGAGGAGGAGGAGGAGGAGGAGGAGGAGGAGGAGGAGGAGGAGGAGGAGGAGGAGGAGGAGGAGGAGGAGCAGGAGGAGGAGGAGGAGGAGGAGGAGGAGGAGGAGGAGGAGGAGGAGGAGGATGGGGAGGGGAGGGGGAGGGGCAGGGATGGGGTAGGGGGAGGATCGACCAAGAACCAGTCGACACCACCCCGCCTACGACCCGCTGGGTCGTAGGTGGATTGGTGTCGTAGGTGGGCTGTAGGTTGTAGTAGATGGGCAAGTGCCTAAACATTTAACGTCGCTGGGTCGTAGGTCTTGGAGCTGCTCGGAGCCGCCTGGGGATCTGAGGTGGCCCAGCATTGGTTGTGGCCAGCAGGAAGGCCGGATAGGTTCGAGGACCCGGAAGTTTTTTGTTTTTTTTTTCGGTCTCTGAGGGCCGTTCTCGGGCCCCAGGACCGTGAAAAGTTGATCCACGGTGGAAACTGCACCAGATGGACCCCAGGAGGGGTCTGGGAGGGGTCGGGGGACAGAGCGGATTTGGCCTCATTCGCCCTCCTGGCCCATTTTCTGGGGCGATCCACCTAGCTCCCTACTTTTTAACGCTCTTCTACAGCACAACTTTGGCCTGATGGTCTCCGAGTGGCAGCGGGAAATGAGGGAGTTCAAATGGGATTCACGATCACCGCCACGCTGCCCAACCCACGTTTCGCCGACGACGTGCTCCTGTCCAGCCAGACTCCCCCGCGTCTGATTACGATGATCGACGACACCACCCGCGCAAATCAAGCATACTAAGCAACTGGACGAGAAGGACGAGGAGGACGAGCTCACGCACTGCACGTGTCCACGACATGGATAAAGAAATAATTCCATACGATGGCAGTGTCAAATTCTTCGGCCACCTGTTCAGCTTCCATGAGCCGATTGACATGGATCGTCAGCACCGCGCGAGAGCAGCATGGGCATCGTTCATGCTTCGCAAACAAGAGCTGACCAGCAAGTACTACCCTCGGGGCCACCGACTCTGGCTGTTCAACAACAGTGTAACACCGACAACCCTCTATGGAGCAGAGACGGCTCACGGCGCCCCTCTGGCAGCACCTTCGACGAACACAATGACCCATGTTGCGCATGACCATTAGAAAGCCGCGGCGACGCGCAACACAATATAATCATACCGTCACATAAGCCAGAGGCCCTCTGCTGTCGACAGGCCAAAGCACGAGGCATCAGGCAACGTCCACAACACCAACAACACCAGCGACGACGCAGGCAGCAACCCACTTCAGCGCGAAACATTGTCTACGCCCGGCATGCACAGCGAGAGCGGCGAAGGCAGTACAAGTGCAGACCCGTTGGAACCTTGGACCGGATACACTTAGAGAGCGACACGGCGAGCAGAGCACCTTGTGAAGCCTCACGGCGTCGACAATTGGGTGACGGCACACAAGCGAGAAGTACGGCGCGTGGCCTCTAGAATCGCAAGCTGCGGCCGAACAACATGGACATGGCGGGTGCAACGCTGGCAACCAGACCTCACCCGGCGCCAGTGGGGACAGCGGTAGCACGGTGGCCAACACAAGCGCCGGGGCGACGTAGTCAACGCGTGCTTGCGCCAACGCAGACCAGACCTCCACCGACTACGCACAGAGACGCAATCGAGGGACAACAGAACGACGTCACATGGATGCAAACAGCCCAAACATGGTCGGCGCTCGAGCATCACTATACCGACCTCTCACCAGGAAACATCCTGGACCAAGACGCATAAAGTGAATGCAAAGGAAAATAGCCGAAACGACACACCCAGCCGGCGCCGACACCGACACCAAGGACAGCCTCTTCTTCCTCCCCCTCCTCTCGGCAGGAGGTGAAGAGGAGGAGGAGGAGGAGGAGGAAGAAGAGGAGCAGGTGGAGGAGGAGAAGGAGGAGGAGAAGAGGAGGAGGAGGAGGAGGAGGAGGAGGAGGAGGAGGAGGAAGGGAATAAACGAGCAGGGAGGAGGAGGGAGAGGAGGAGGGAGGGGAGGAGGAGGAGAGGAGGGGGAGAGAGGCAGGAGCAGGAGCAGGAGGAGGAGGAGGAAGCGGACGAAATGGAAATGAGTGGTAGTGGGGAGTAGAAGCGGAGGAGGAGGAGGAGGAGGAGGACCACGATGAATCCCAGAGTTACAAGCGCCGTTGTGAATGCCCATCCCGTCCCAAGCTCCCTCAGAAGATCCTGTAGCTGCAGAGCTTCCCTTCCACCGCTGGATGCGCCCCCTGGAGAGAAGAGCACCCGATGGGCATACCATGCGGGCGAGAGCCCCCTTTGAGAAGGTTGTACTCCTCCTCCTCCTCCTCATCCTGCTCCTCCTCCTCCTCCTCTTCCTCCTCCTCCTCCTCCTCCTCCTCCTCCTCCTCCTCAGGAGCACGCGACAAGACACGATCATAGGGATCAGCGACGTGTTTCGTGAGAGCCCCATTTTGAAAAGGAACCGCCCCCCCCCATACGTGTAGGTGATGCACGCGTGTGCACTTCTGACTGTGTTGAAGGTGGCCTCAAGCGAGAGTCCCATTCTATAAAGAAGCCGTCCTCCATCTGTATACAGCTGCACGAGCCTACATTCCTGGTAGTCGTCGTGGTTGACCTCTGTGGCGAAAGACACATTTCGAAGACCAACCGGCCTCCGCCCGTGTTCCTGTTACAAGTGATGGAAACGAGGGTTAGCGGCGCTGAGTGCTTGTTTGGTGGTGCGATTGGGAGGAGTTGCTTATAATGAAAAGGAATGTAGGGGATGATGTGAGGAAGAGGAGGGGGAGGAGTTGGTGGGGGAGAAAAGGGAAGGGAGGAGGACGGGGAAGGGGTGGGGGCGGGCGGACGGAAGAGGAGAAGTGGAAGGCGAAGGGGGTCGGCGGAGGCGAAGGAGGGGAAGGTACTGGGGGAGGAGGCGACGCGAGGCGAT